CATAACATTTTGGTATCAGAGCCAAACGTCATGGGCGATATGGAGCAGCTGTCTTCCAAGGTCAACGAACTGGAACACCAACTTGTAGAGACCAGCATGGAGGTACGTGAGGTCAAGGATGATGTCCGGGAGCTTCGACGCTTGCTGGAGACATTCTTAGCCAATAGGGAAAGAAACTCAGAAGGAACAGCCACCAACAACAGCCGCAGACCAGACCGGGCAGAAACGCCTGGCGAACATCAGACGACCACCCCGACGCGCCACTAAAACATCCAACTCGCACATCTCAGCGTGCATCGAGAACATCTCCCGTACTTGTCATTGAGAGATGTTCTCGATACACGGTTGAAATGCGCTGTGGGACGTTTTGAGATAAAATTTTCGAACATTTTGGTACTATGAAGATTTTGTTCATTTTAATATTATTAATAGCATTATAACGATTTCTTTGATTTGAAAAGCTTTCCCATATTGCCATTAGGCTATTATCGTGTTATATATCTCTCTCCGGTAAAGTTGAGGATTCATACAACCCTACTATTAGTAGATTCATACATCTATGATAAGGATTGTACAAAGCAAATAATATCATATTCATCATCAACTTAATTTTCATTAATACCTACATATTTGACCCCAAAATGATCTCACTAATTCGTATATCAAATATGACGTAAAACAACATCTACTTTTTCTACCATTCACAATGTTCAATACACACTAGATAAGGTCTACTTCAATGTTTCTAGCAAACATGCACCATCACACCCGACTTAAGCAATTAAGATTCACTGCTCCACTACTTTGGGCAGTGCAACAATACAATTTTTAATACTAAAACAGTCAGTCCGTTCAGGGGCGGAGCTAGGATTCTTTATTGAGGGGGCCGAAGTATAATACAATGGATAGTGGGGTCAAAAGAWAAAAAAACATAGGTAAAAGGGCGAAATATATGTGAAATTTAAATAACTATTTTGAGGATTTTTAAGGCATGGGGGGCCATGTCTGTCACCCTTGAGTCCGTTTAACCCAAGAACCGGAAGGCAATATGATTTTTTAACATCGGATTTTTACTAAAATTGGTCAGCAAAGTATTGAACCGGTCAGTTAATCGTTCGAATGGTTTTGACCGTTTTTCAAATTTTTTAATTTTTTTTTAATTTTTATTTTTTTATTAGAACAAATCAGTCATTCGAATCGAACAGTCAGACCGTTCTAACCAGTAACCAGACCCCTGACTGATTCGGTCACCAGTTCGGTTTTAAAAACCATGGTACTTAGGGATTTGAATGGGCCTAGTGCCTTTGATATCGCTCTAGGGAAAAGGGGGAGATTCTGGGTTTGTTTTCATTGGAGAATGAGGGTTGATGTGGTTGTGAAGGACAGGGATAAGCAATTGATCCCTTTTACGGCCTAAAGCGCCACCAAGAGTTGAGGGTTGTATTGTATCTTCAGGCTTTAGGGGAGATTCCCTTTAATGCTCGTGGTGACTTGCAGCAGGGAGGAGGGCTTGGGTTAAATTTGAATTTAATATTGACAAAGGTTTAATGAATCAATGGGATTGGCCTTTCGAGCTTGGGCTCTTCGTTTCTTTGAACTTTCAAGCCTAATTGTGCTACTAAACATGGTAAGTACTATTGGGCCCGGGCCCAAGTCTTAGGCTCTTGTCCCCTTGTCTTCCATCTTGGACAGGGTTAAGGCTGATGTGGGGCCCAGAAAAGCCCAAGCATGTAAATTTAAATGTACTATTCGGCTTCAAGAAGGTCCACAAGCCTCACAATTTGAACGTTTGGAATAAGAAGTTCTAGCTTGCCTAGAAGGGTGGCAGATGGGTTAAGAAAAAGTGTAGGTAAGAGTCCTAATTGTTCCTTGCCTATTAGTTATGAATAAGTAGCAAGAAAAACCGAAAAATCGAACCACA